GGCGATCATTGGTCTGGAACTCATTGCCTGACAAGGTAGAACTCTTCAACTCATTGAAAATGTGTTTGAATATGCGTCTTTAAGGAAGTAGCTACCAGGGTTATAAATTCAATATTGGAAAGTGCAAGTAGACTGGGAGCTCTTTTTACTTCTACGTAAACTGAATGATCCAAGTGGCCTTTCTCCATGCAATAAAATCGAATTCACAAAGGCGAGGAGGTCATGGATGAAAAATCTGTTTCTTTATATTTGATGTGGGACTACAGCACTAGCCTGAATAACTGCTGCAGGTATATTTTGTGTTCAGGTGTTTTGTGTACAAACCACAACCATTCCCTCCCTGACAGCTATTTTTAATTCAATTCTTCCGAGGGCTCCTTGTTATTACAATCACTTAAATTCTATCTTGAAGGCAAATGTAGTTAGTCTAATATTAATTGTTCAGATGACTAGAGGACAAGACATTTCCAGGTTTCACCAAAATCGACTCTGAGTAACCCACACGTGCAGTAATGCAGAGCAATGCTAGGCACTACACCTGGGAGTACACCCATTGACATTGGAAGATCTTGCTATGGACGAGATCAGACACCTAACACCCCACCACTACCACACCAAAAGGAAAACAAATTATGAGGAGATATCCTACACCCAAGCTTTTATAATTATTTACAGGCAACTGTAAGGTGCTGGGTTTCCACATGTAATTCCATTAGTCTGCCACTGCTCCTTAATCAAAGCACACTTCAGTCTTACACCACAGGTAAAATACAAATGAAAAAACGAACTGGCGTAACTTTATTGAAATACTTAACAAGATAATTTTTTTTAACCACTAATCATCAACTGTTCCAGTATAGGCAGCATCTCACAAATGTAACCTTCGCAAGGCAATTTATCAACTCAGTTTTACTCTCATGGTTCCCCATGGTAGGCTGATGGAGAAAGTGAAGTCACATGGGGTCCAGGGTGTACTAGCTATATGGATAGAGAACTGGCTGGGCAACAGGAGACAGAGAGCTGTAGTGGAAGGGAGTTTCTCAAAGTGGAGAACTGTGACCAGTGGTGTTCCACAGGGATAGTAGGAACTGCAGATGCTGGAGAATCCGAGACAACAAGGTGCAGAGCTGGATGAACACAGCAGGCCAAGCAGCATCATAGGAGCAGAAAGGCTGACGTTTCCGGCCTAGACCCTTCATCAGAAATGATTTCTGATGAACGGTCTATGCCCGAAAC